ATGCTCTAATGGAGTTTATCATGTATTTAAACTGCCAAGTTTAGGTGAAGTTTCTGTAATTTGAAAGAAGTGACAGGCACTTGAGAAATTATGTGATGAGAATAAAGGAAATGATAAAAATTGCTGAGAAACATTGGGAATTGAAAAATACTTGCTACAATAATTCTGCCTAAGAGTATACTTCTCAGGTTGTCTTTAGGTCTTTTAACAAACAAACAAACAAACAAACTCTAGACTGAATCTAGGCTGAATCATTTCCAAAAATCAAAACTGTCAAGACAGAAAGCTGGGAAACATGAGAAGTTCTGGGTGAATGACAGATCTGTCACCCTTAGTAAACGAAGCCTGCACTCCCTAGGAAAGAGAGAATTGACTGTACTTTCTGTGGACTTTGGACAATAGGTTTCCCACCTATGTTCACTCTGTTTAAGACAGAGTAGTTTAAGATGAGTAGTCCTTCAAAGTCATTTCTGAAGCTTTTTTTTCCTTTTGTCTGAGGACTTCACTCTGACAGCTCTTGAAGGCTGATCTTTAGTTCTACGGATTACTCTGTTATCAGCTTCCAGTTCAGACTCCTTGGTTCACTGTGCAACTGGCTGCTTGAAGAGCCATAAAATTGAGGTGTCACCATTGCACAGTTTAGTGACTCCTAACATTTGTCATGACACTGATTGTAAAAGTATTGTAGCTTACTGAATTTTTGGAATACAAGTGGCCTCTATATCTATATGCATCCCATATAGAAATCGTCAAGACAAATTAAAATTTTCCCATGTTCTTTTGGATATGTTCCTCCAGATTCATGGCTGGAAACTATTAAACTTACTCTTCCCTAACACAAGTTTTCAATTCTCTTATTATTATTATTTATTTAGGTCTACTGAGAATTTCTCTTTCGCAAGTCCCAAAAAGGGCCATATCTTATCATTTCCATACTGCTCCATTATCTACTTGATATATCTACCAAAAAACTCTTTAACCAGAATAACATAATGTACTCCTGGATCTTCTCACATGTAGAACTTTAGGGACTACTCTGAAAAGGTTGATTAATCTCATTTGTAACTAAAAATAATACTGAATGCTACTGCACTAACTTTTCTGGCTAATAAATATTTCCTAAAAACCTAATATTTACTATTTGCCAATAAATTTTAGTATAACCTCAATTTTTGGATATGTTCAATATATCTTTTTAAATCTCTGCTCAGAAAATGATAATAATTAATACTTTTAAGTAGCTATTAACAAATTAGAAATATAAATCTTCAAAATACATTTGAAATGTATAAAAAATATAACTGACATTATCACTATATTATTCTAATTAAAATAATTTTAATCAAAGAATATATAAAATTGTGAACAGGGAAATGGTAAATATAGATATATAGGTATCTTCATTTGAAGAGAACATGTAAATTTACTCATGTAAAAATGTGTTATCGCTGATGACATTAATTTTTATGCAACATTGAAATAGTAATTTTTTATTCATCAAATGTGATTCATCAAATATATTATAATGTTTCTTTAACTTAGTTCACTTAAATTTAAATTAAAGTAATGGATTTTAAACTTCCTCCTCTCCTTTTTCCACTTTATTCATGGTTTTTAACCATAAATTTAGACCAATAACCGTAAATTAAATTTCCATATTTTGGTTGATTCTCAGGGAGAAAGACTGATAACATATTAGATAGATCAATGGGTAAAGCTTACTAAAAGTAAGACCATGGAAAATAAAATACAGTCAATATGCAATCATCTAAGCAAGCCATTTGTGTGTATGTCTGCGCATATTTTCCTGATTCTTTTTCTATTCCTCAAGCAATTCTCATTCTCTCAGGACTTTCCATAAATCACTGTGCTTTCCACTTTACTTTGCTGAACCTATTTCATGAATGCAGATCTTTAATACCTTCATTTAGTTCAAGTTTTATGGTCTGTTTCAGTTAGGTAGCTTTTTGTTGCAAGGAACTAAAAACCCAACATAGACTGACTGGAAAAAAAAAAATGGTAGAGGGCATGTATTGACTCATACATATGGCCAGTTCAGCAGACTTGGCTTCAGACAAAGCTTTAGGGTTCAAATTCTATGAAGACAGTTTCCTCTCTCTCTCTCTCTCTCTCTCTCTCTCCTCCCATTATTCATTTGTACCTCCCTTGTATTGGCTCCATTTTCAGGTAGGCTATACTCCCAAAGTCTCAAGCATGTTACCAAAGATCCTTGGGCTATATTCTTTTTTGCTCAGCTTTGGTGTTAAAGTGAGTCATTGCTCAAATAAATTCCAAAAATTGAGTCTTGGCCCTATATGACCAATATCATCCTTAATCAACCATCATAATATGGTTGATGTGATATGCCAATAGATTTGAACTAATCAGGATCTGTTTCTAGAGCTTGGGATGTGTTCAAACCTACTCAATCTATATTCCTGGGAAATGCTGGAAACAGTTCAAAAAAGCGGAGGGCCGAAATGGATTCTAAGAAAGCAAATATGATAAGCAAATTCCACTAGATTGTTGTCTGAACTACAGAGAATTGGTATATATAAAGGATTAAGTGGACAAGATGAGTAATCAGTTGATTTGTATACATATTTTTATTGTGCTCCTGCCTAACTTCTTGGTGAAGATTTTCCTACACTAAGGCTCAAGACTAAGAAAATTCAACAGTAAGATATAATTATAATATGCTTTAAATTAATTTGTAATCTATAAACTGTCAGTATTGTTCTTACTGCTCCAAAATAGAGCACTTTCTTCTGTAACTTTTCATGTTACATTCTTTCATATATCATAATAATATTTAATGTGTTTATGAGAAAACTTATATGTCAATTATCTTGGCTGTATCATGAGTATTATTATCCAAAACATTGGGGGTAAAGGGTTGTTATCCTACATTTAGGACTAATTTAAATTTAAGAACTCATGCTCCACCACTATTTGGGAAATCTAAATGTAAACCCTATCTTTAAAAAGATAATGTAGGGGTGCCTGGGTGGCTCAATCAGTTAAGTGTCTGACTTCAGCTCAGGTCATGATCTCACAGTTCATGGGTTCAAGCCCCGCGTTGGGCTCTGTGCTGACAGCCAGCTCAGAGCCTGGAGCCTGTTTCAGATTCTGTGTCTCCCTCTCTCTCTGATCCTCCCCTGTTCATACTGTCTCTCTCTTTCTCTCTCAGAAATAAATAAAAAAACATTAAAAAAATAAAATAGAAAATATATTATAAAAATTAAATTAAAAAATAAAAAAATAATGTAAGTACCTATTATAACGTGAAATATCTTCTTGATTTACATACATCTCCATCTGAATTTTTCTAAAAACAATAATAGCTACTATATCCATGAGGAAAACTTGATATGCCATAATTCCTTAGAAAGCAGGCCTATCTTGTTGCATTTTATTTTTTCTTTTAAGAGAGAGGAAATGTGAGCAGTGGAGGGGCAGAGAGAGGGACAGAGGATCTGAGGCAGGCTCCACACTGACCGCAGTGAGCCAGATATGCAGGGCTTACTAAACTCAAGAAAGTGACCTTTTGCATAGTGTGCCATTATTACACAGATATTTAACATATTATGGAGGAAACATAGAATTCTTTGATAAGAAAGACACTTGCTAACATAACATTTTACACTTTGCAAAAATACTGCAGTGCACATCATAACTTGCTTCTCAGACCAACTTGAGATACTAAAAGGTTAGTTATCCTTCTGTAGATACAGCGATGGCAGCTTCCAGGGAACCAGCATGTCGATCGTCAGCTCACTAAGGGCAGGATGGTGGCTGGAACACATTAGGGGCTCTGAATATCAAATTAATTCATTCATTGAATCTGGGCTTAAATCTGGTCTTTTACAAGTTTGTTGCTTTCCTTACAACTAAAGTATTATTATAGCCTTCTCTACATATTTTAACAAATAGACCCCATGATCAATTTTCAGAACTCAGAAAAAAAGACCAGAAGAGCAAAACAAAACAGAAAGCTCCTCTAAGGCTTCTGTATTCCTGCTTTAAGGAAACAGCCGTATCGTTGTTTTCTAGATTTCCTACTTGCTCAATCAATAATCAGTTTGGGAGGCACTCAATCGATAGGACTTTGAAAAAGTGTATGCATTTGTCTAACAAAGGGCAATCCTGAATGCATTCAGAATTTTGGGAGGTTTTTTGTTTTGTTGTTTTTTTGTTTTTTAGGCGTCTTCAAAATACTTTTTTTTTTTTTTAATGTTTTTGTTGTCAAGAGAAAAGCAGATGAGATAAAACATGGGTAGGTGAGCCAGCAAGTCTGGACACAAAAACGGAGTCCCTGAGTTGAATTTTCCGAAAACTAGATACAAATTTAACAATATGTAAAGAGCGTCTCTTCTTTAGAATGCCAATGCTGAGGCTGGAGACAGAAATAAGATGCAGCCTGTGGCTTGCACCCTCCCCCCTCCCACTCAGGTAGCTTAACTACTTCAGTTTTATTCGATCTGCTACAACAAGGCCTGACAAACTGCACCTCAGCACAAGAAGCATCTCTCAGGCGATGATGCGTAAAGACACAGGGATTTTTTAGTCAATCGCAGGAATTAGGCTTTAATGCTTTCTACTAAAAGACTTCAGACCCCAGATAGCTGACTGCTATCCACTGAATCTTGGCAGGCAAAGAGACTGCTGGAGCTGAAGTGAGGAAGCCACGTTAAGCAGATTTCCATGAATGTACGAAATGCTTTATTTGCAAAGCTGCTTTTCTTTGTTGCAGTTTAAAATGCTTTTTTCTTTTCCTTTTTTTTTTAAATCTCTAGGTTTGATCAATTCTCCATCTTTATCAAAATTACTTTCCAAAAATGTCCCTTAAAGAACCACAGAAGAGAAATAAATGCTCATCTCACCAAAGTAAGGTTTTTTTTTTTTAAGAATAATTGTCAAAGTGTCAATTTAAGAGATTAAAAATGATCACAGTCCTTACAAAGACTACAAAATACACACAAAGACATTAAATACTTTACCGTTGTTTGGCAGTTCTAGAGGGCTACAGATACCGTTTTTGGTTCTGCTGTTTGGTGAAGAGATCAGTTTCGCAACAAGAGATGCTGAAATGGGCTGTACCAGGAGGGTCGTGAGGTTTGGTCGGTTTTGCCTAAAGCTTCCATCTAGATTCAGAAGAGAAGGGAACAGAATCCTTAGCAAACAGAAATTAAAAACACACGAAGAGAAGTTTTTGTCATAAGTATTCAAAATCTGAACCATATGTTTATTTTAGTTCTTTTGTTTATTCCTTAGTTATACTCTATTTATTAAAACTTATGTGAGGCACGTCAGTCCAAATACTATTATGTATCCTAGTTAATGCTGGCAGAATATTCACCTGCATTTACCTCCATTCTCTCATAAGACCAGGTCACTGGAGACTATACAAAAATACTGAAAATCTGCCAGTCCACCAATAAAACAACTCACCAAAAACAACCCATGTTAAAACCCATCAGTCAATAGCCCATCCATATAGAGAACTTCAAATCAACTCAACTGTGCCATCATTAAGTAGGTGCAGTCAGCCAAGGACAATCTTAGAATGGCACATAGCAGGTGAGCTCATGAGGATAAGAGTAAGGAGATCAGGAGGCTCAAGGATGGAGGTTACCAGGAAGACAAAAATAATGGAAGAGCCAGATGTGTGCTTCTGTACTGAGAGGATATTTACAACAGAGATTAGAGAGTATGTGAGGATCGGGGCGCCTGGGTGGCTCAGTCGGTTTAGCCTCCGACTTCGGCTCAGGTCATGATCTCACAGTTGAGGGTACGAGCCCCACATCAGGCTCTGTGCAGGCATCTTGGAGCCTGGAGCCTGCCCCAGGTTCTGTGTCTCCCTCTCTCTCTAACTCTCTCCTGCTCACGCTGTCTTTCTCTCTCAGAAATAAATAAAAACATTTTTAATTTTTTTTTAAAAAAGAGAGTATGTGAAGATCTTCTAGGTACACAGAATGATAAGAAATCTAAAAATTAGACAATCTTTAGCTTCAAAGGGATCAAAAGTTGTTCAAGAAGGAAATGCAATCATCATACAATGTGAATAATATTTACATAGTCATAATAATATAAATAATGACTATTTAACACAAAAAATTGGATATTCCTTCAGAAAGAAAAGCAAAGGGAAAAATTCATGGATGAGGACTCATGGAGCAAACTGCATCTTTATTTTCCATAGTGGCAATAGATAAAACTGAAAAATGAATTAAACTCTTAAACATGCTTCTGAGACACAGAGAGGCAAATATAAAATGCAGGGAACAACTAAAAATACTGAAAGGAATTAAGTGTTTGCCTTTGGGAGAGAGGTGGGACATAAAAAACATAGAGAAGGAGGGGAGAAGATGAAGTTTTTGTAAACTAACCTTAGAATTATTTTAATATAGTCGTCTATAACTTTGAATAAAAAACAAAAATTAAATAAAAATAAGGAGAGGAAACCATGGTAACACAAGTAAAAGCAAAATACACAAGTACTCAGAGTAAAGAGAATGGAGGGAATAAATTAAACTTTGCTTAAGAATTAAAAAATACATATTCAGTTTATATATTGATATGGACTCAGAGAGGAAATACACAATGGAATGACTCTATCAAGTCGCCAGAATGTCTGTGAACACAGCGCTTCATTTTTCAGAAGTTTTATTAGGGAAAATGATTGCCAAAGGTTTTCTCAGAATTTAATTTGATAGGACTGTAGGGGGTGCGGACTCAACCACACTAGTATCCAGGCTGCAGGAGGCAGATTATAAATGAGAAAATATGTTACAGAAGTGCTCCCTTAATTTATCATCTGGAAAACCACAAGACTAAAACAAAATGATATTTAGCTTAGGCCTATGGCAGCCATAGCAGCCATAGCTTTGAAGGGAAAAAATAATAAAGATTTAAGCTTCGAATCAGTTTTGTTATGTAAACACAATGCTGGTTGCATAATTCAGTAACTCCTTTTGTATGGGTATATGACAGCGCATTTCGATCACAATGTAGTACATCGCTTCCTAGCCATTTTCATGTCGGAGTACCAAGACTGGCTGTATAATCTGCAGGGCCCAGAACAAGATGACAATGTGGGACTTCTTGTTCAGAAAGCATGAAGAATTTCAAGATGGCAACAGCAGAGCATTAAAACAAGTGTGGACCCTTCCGAGTAGGGGCCTATGCAACGGTGCAGGTTGCATGCCCATGATCCAGACCCTGCAGGATTCACCAGAAGATGCTAGCAGTCATTCATCCTACTGATGAAATCCAAAAGGAATTTTCAGTCTCCAAGGAAGCTGCCCTCAGCCTCAAGTGACCAGCTCTAGTCTCTATTGTTCCAGGCTGCACCTGGGGCCACAGTGGTTAATATCTCAACGTATAGATGGTGTCCCTCAGCACACCAGCCAGGAAGCTCTGATATAGCCAGCTTATTATGTTTCTTCAGCATATATTTTCTCCCTCAGCCCTTACCTTCTGGATTTCTAGTGTACATAGGACAATAAAATGATATTTCTGAGAAACGTGAAATGTTATTTTGATGTTATCATGGATGTTAGGTGCTGACACATTACCAACACAAAATGAAACTTTTATTTATTTATTTATTTATTTATTTATTTTTATTTTTGAGACAGAGAGACAGAGTATGAGCAGGGAAGGAGCAGAGAGAGAGGGAGACACAGAGTCTGAAGCAGCCTTCAGGCTCTGAGCTGTCAGCACAGAGCTTGATGTGGGCTCGAACTCATGAACCATGAGATCACGACCTGAACTGAAGTTGGATGCTTAACCAACTGAGCCACCCAGGCACCCCAAAATGAAACTTCTTAAAATGCTGCATAATCTCCCCAGATCAAATAGTGAACTCTTTAGTTTGCCATTCAAGGCTCTTCACAATCTCAGACTTTATATTTTAAACACTGTTTCCCATCATTCCTCTCCATACATCTTATGCTAACACATAAGCTGTCTTTGACATATTCTGCGATGTATGATCTCCGGGTTTTGGCTTAAGCCATTCCTTCTATGTCGTTTGCTCTTCCCATGCATCACATAGGTCTGAAGTATACATTTCCTTTAAAACCAAGCTCAAAAGTCATCCTTTTATAAGAAGGTTTCTCTGTCATCCTCAACTCTATGTGATAATTTATGCACCTTTTTTTTTTTGTAGTGCTTGTCATTTCTAATTAACATTATCATTACATACTTATAAGCATTTCATACTTATCACTTTTTAACTTTGTTTCTCCTCTTTAAACTCTAAAATCCTTAAAGACAAAAAACAAGTATTCCATATCATTGAGTGACATGCAATGCCTAGCACAATGCCAGGAACACAACATGATCAGCATTTCTTTGAAAAATGGTTTCAACACCACTATCTTATTGGTTTTCTGAATGCTTAGTGGAACAATGATACAACCAAAGAATAAATTACATTATATTCTATTAATACTATGTTTGCTATACATTTGTGGTTTTTTCCCCAGCTAACTACTCTCCCACAGCAGACATATCACATAGACTTTCCAAACCTATCTATCCTCATCAATTCACTGGTTAACCTTGCTGTAAAATTAGCTTTCGTGTGAAAAAAAGACTATCTTTATAAATAAAATAATCTGAGATGTATTTATCTGTTAATGAAAAATCAATAACTGCATTACTTTTTTCTTTATAATGCTCTATCAGGCATATGAAACAATATATTTAAAAGTTAAATATGAGTGCACCCTAAACCCTAATTGATTTGTACTCAAATCTTTGATTTGTTTCTTGCATGAGTAATAGACTTGCATTAGTTTTGAAATATCTGAAGTGGTTCATTAATTTTTCACCTTCAGCTTAACGGAAATTTGACAAACAGTTCACTTATGAGAGCAGACAGTATAAACAGGACTTTACAGTATACTAAGATTAAATAATAGACAAATGTTATTTTCTAACTCATTTATTGAAGAAGAGCTGAGAGACTTTTATTGTGTGACATTATTAAGAGGCTTTGAATAAAAATAAATATATGTACCATTTTTGATCATTTACATTTTATTTTATTTTTTTAAAGTAATTTTTTTAATGTTTTATTTATTTCTAGGAGAGAGAGAGAGACAGCGTGAGCAGGGGAGGGTCAGAGAGAGAGGGAGTCATAGACTGAAACAGGCTCCAGGCTCTGAGCTGGCAGTCAGCACAGAGCCCGACGCGGGGCTCGAACCCACGAACCGCGAGATCATGACCTAAGCGAAAGTCGGACGCTTAACCGACTAAGCCACCCAGGCGCCCCTGATCATTTACATTTTAAAACACATTGATGAACTATAAGAATCCACTAGGTGGGTGTTGAAAATCAGGCAGAATGTGTGCCTTGATGCAAAGGGCACTGAACGGAAAAGATGTTTGCATTACCTCTTAGCATTCCTACTATTCAATTAAAGCATGGATATCTTGCCCTGTTCATTGTTTATGCTCAATGAAGAATGACACTAACTTATATTTTAGTAGATCTCTGGTTCTCTCTTCACTTTATGTACTCTGCAAGCTATATAAAGATCCAAGTCAAACCATGCCATCAATAGCCCAATCTCTGACACATTGGCACCCGAATATAGCAGAAAGAGGAAACTGGATGAAGTCAGAGTCCCAAGTCCGACTTCATCACTGACTCTCCCTGTGAAGTGTAATATATAAACGATTTCAGTATACTCATATTGTCATCCCCTCTACTATACCTGAACAACCAAGATGACACCGAAGGGCATTCATTATGCTGACTTACTGAAAGAGAAAGAGCATATGAGCTCAGAGGCCAAAAGCCTGGCCCATAGTAGGTGAAACGTAGAAGAAATGAGGTTGGAAATAAGTGAAAAGGTTTTCTGGTTGTACATATTTAGTAGATTTTGGATTATGCTTTTTTCAAGTTGTTGATGTCCACTTCAATCATATTTGGTTATGTGAATAAAGAAATCTGAACACTGTTACCACCTGCACATTTTTTATGTGGCAAGATGGAATTCTTTTAAACTCAGTTGAAAAAGTGCAAGTTGAAAAACAGCAAGTACTGATTCCTCAGAGAGTATTAAAAAACGAAACCTTCAGAAACTAGACATCTTAGACACTGGGATCCTCAGATTAATTCACCAAGAAG